AGGTACCAGTTTTGCTCAAGAGAGGAGGGAGCAGTAACCTGGGGTAATAGGTAGGGGCAAAATAGAGGCGGAGGCTTCGAGAAAGGGATGGGGTGCAGTGGAAGGACCTGGGGCAGAGGCGAAGTCATCCTGGGCCCCGCACTCTCCTAGGGATGGGTGCTGCCATAGAGGTACTTGCAGAGAGTGATTAAGTCACCTCTTAGCTTTCTCTTGGATAAATTCAAATAGATTGAGCTTCTTTGGTCTTTCCTTGTAACGCAGGTTATCTAGACCTCAAATCATTCAAATCAGCTCTTTCCTGGACCCTTTCCAATTTGTCAACATCCTTTTTAAAAATGAACTGGTGCAGTATTCCAATAATTATCTCACTAATGATGCATACAGTACTGAAAACATTGTCCTATTTTTATTAAATATTCCCCTGTTTATACGCCCAAAGATTACGTTTGTTCTTTTAGCCACATCACTGCTCCTCATGCTCATGTCTTGAGTCATTCTGTTATCTTGAATCCTAATGTTTTTTTTTAGGTGCTGCTTTTCAAAATACAGACCTCCATCCTTAAAAGTGTGACCTGTATTCTTGGTTCCTAGATGTAGGACCTTGATTTCAGCTATTATTCAGTCAAATCATCTTACTACATGATCTAGATGGCTCAGTAGAAGTAGGGATGCAATAGTGTAGTTAATTAACCGATAAGCAAAAGCTTATAGGTTAATGCTCTAAACTACGTACATTTCCCCCCACCATCCCTTGCCAGTAAATTTTTTAGCAGGCTGGCCAGCGGCCTATCTCAGTCCCAGCTTGCACTGAGTTCTGGACCTACCCCCACTGTGGCTCTGCATTTAAAGTGTATTAGGAGCCAGGTGGGCAGGCAGCCCAGCTCAGTTCCAGCTCACGCCAGGTCCGGGAGCTCAGACCCCTCCCCTCAGGACAGGTGCTGCCCCGGGGACTATAAATTAGTCGACTAACCGATAAGAATTCATGAGGTTAATTGACTACTCAACCAATATTTAACATCCCTAAGTAGAACTGACCTGTCCTAATCTTTTACTATTCCACCAATTTTTGTTATCTGCCAACTTTACCAGCAACGTTTTTTTCCAGATAATTGATAAAGATATTGAATAGCACTGGGCCAAGAAGAGAAGCAAGCCCTGGTCTGTCTTATTTGGATTATAAACTCTTTGGGACAAGAACACTGTGTTTTGTTTCCAATACACTCTGTGTTTAACAAATAAGATGTAACTGTTAATACACATCGGCTACGTCTACACTGGCCCCTTTTCCGGAAGGGGCATGTTAATTTCAGAAGCCGTAATAGGGAAATCCGCGGGGGATTTAAATATCCCCCGCGGCATTTAAATAAAAATGTCCGCCGCTTTTTTCCGGCTTTTAAAAAAGTCGGAAAAGAGCGTCTATACTGGCCCCGATCCTCCGGAAAAAGTAGGAATAAGATCCTCCGGAAAAGAGCGCTTTTTCCAGAGGATTGGGGCCAGTGTAGACGCTCTTTTCCGGCTTTTTTAAAAGCCTGAAAAAAGCGGCGGACATTTTTATTTAAATGCCGCGGGGGATATTTAAATCCCCCGCGGATTTCCCTATTACGGCTTCTGAAATTAACATGTCCCTTCTGGAAAAGGGGCCAGTGTAGACGTAGCCAAGGTATTTGCTTTTGTGATGATATTCTATTCTGCTATATTGTTTTAACACCCCTCCCCTCCCAGTAACCAGCATCCTGTTAGATCATCAAACATGCATCAGACTTGGGAAGTAAAGTGTGGAGCAACTACCACATGAGTTACTGTCACATGAGACTCTAGCAAAGAGGGCAATATACTGCCTATTTTTATTTTGGCTTATTATATGCACATTGGGAAAAATAACCCCAACTATACGTACAGAATGATGGGGGCTAATTTGGCTACGACAAATCAGGAAAGGGATCTTGGAGTTATCGTGGACAGTTCTCTGAAAACTTCCACACAGTGTGCAGCGGTGGTCAAAAAGGCAAATAGAATACTAGGAAATATTAAGAAAGAGATAGAAAATAAGACACAGACTATCTTACTGCCCCTGTATAAAACTATGGTACGCCCACATCTTGAATACTGTGTACAGATGTGGTCTTCTCACCTCAAAAAAGATATTTTGGCCTTGGAAAGGGTTCAGAAAAGGGCAACTAAAATGATTAGGGGTTTGGAACGGGTCCCATATGAAGAGAGGTAAAAGCAACTGGGACTTTTCAGTTTAGAAAAGAGGAGACTGAGAGGGGATATGATAGAGCAGCGTTTCCCAAACTATGGGCCGCAGCCGGGTACCGGGACGCGGGGAAAAAAATACCGGGCCTCAGCATGCCTGGTGGCTGCCGGCAGGGCCGGCCTTAGGCCGATTCAGGCCCCACGCCCCTGAACCCGGAAATGCCGGCGAGTTACAGAGCTGGGTGCCCTGCTCCACCGATATGTGGAGCTGGGTCTTTCCCCCGGCTCTGCCTGGAGCGGCCCCCCCCCGCTCCCTCCCCACCACGTGTCCTCCCACCTCGCCCCCAGAGCGTCCCCGCCGTGAGTGGCTCCTCCTCACCTCCTGCTGCTGCCCATGTGCGGCGTTGCACGTGGGCGGGGAGGATGCCCAGGCGTGACGTGACGTCATGGCCCAGGATTTTAAAAGTCTTCTGAGGCACGTGGCGGGGCCACGCTGGCTCCAGTGGCCTCTGGCCCCACAATGTGGAAGGCAGAAGGTAGGGAACAGGCTTGGGTGGAGGTGAGGAGGCGGCAGCGGGCTTGTGCGGAGGGGGGGAGTGGAAGGAGAAGGGGCTTGGGAGGGGAAGGCACCAAGGGACAGGGTGCAGGAGAGAGAGACAAATGCCGGGGGCCAGCTGGAAGGCAGAAGGTAGGGAACAGGCTTGGGTGGAGGTGAGGAGGCGGCAGCGGGCTTGTGCGGAGGGGGGGAGTGGAAGGAGAAGGGGCTTGGGAGGGGAAGGCACCAAGGGACAGGGTGCAGGAGAGAGAGACAAATGCCGGGGGCCAGCTGCAGGCAATGAGGGAAAGGGTAGGAGGGGAGGTGTCAGTGGGAGGGGTGGTGAGGGGGTGGACATCAGGGAAAAAGAGGACAAAGGGGGCAGGGGCAGTAAGGGAAGGGGGAGGCACCAGGAGGGTGCAGTGCTAAGGGAAGGTGCAGGTGCCAAGGGATTCTGGGGTGAGGAGGAGGGGAGAACTGGCCACCGGAAACAGCACTGGACGGGGGAATCGGGGCAGGCTGAGGAGATTGGTGGGCCAGTAGAAGCAGGGCTGCCGGGGGGTGCGAGGTTGGGGGCAGGGAGCTGGCCGGGGAAGATGGGGGTGGGGGGAAGAAGTGGCCTCTGGAAGGAGGGCTGGATACAGGCAGTGGGGCTGGGCCAGGGGGGTTGAGAGGAGCTGTGGA